TAAGGACAAGTTTGCTTCTAAATTATGCGAATAGTCATATGTAAATTTGTTGTCAAATGCAATAATAAGCAAGGAATAGATAAAAACATTGCTTGCTGCTACAATAATCTTTTGTTTGAAGTGCTTTAACAAATTTTAATTGTCACTCTTTCCCATGTATAATTTATGACCTTTAGTTTTTTGAATAAAAAATAAACCAAGTAAAACAAAATCCTATGTAGGACAACCCAGAGCAACAATATGATCACATTTTTCCCTTCATAAACGAATCAGTGTCGATACCTATATGAAGACCCTTCAAGATATCAAAACCTAGAATATTTGTCCTGTCCAGGCATCAACGGAGACCAAGAGTTTGAAAATGCTGTCGACAGCTGCTAACCTTTTTCATCCTAGACCAACTCCAAAGGAGACGCAACAGAAGGCATGATCGATGAGAAAGAATGCATGCCGCAAGCAATGTTGTAGGAAAAACGTGCGCTGCGAGTGAAATTGGAATTGGACCTAAAACTAAAATCGAAGATACTGCAAAGCTATGGACTCTCTGCTGGCGACGTCACGGATTGCCTGCTGGCGAAGGTGCTGCGAGGTTGGGCTAGGGCACCTTGTGAGCCTTCAATTTCTCCGTCCGATAACTATTTTTTTCAACTCAAATAAGAAGGTTTTTTTTTTATAAATAAAATTTGAATTGTTTAAAGCAGATGACCCATCAACCAGCTAGGATTAATAGTTCTGAATTGTTGGCATGTGGTTGGTTAGATCACAAATGAGGGGGCACATGCAAGAATTTCTCATTAATGAATTTGAAACTGAAACAGTAGCAGGCCCCACGGTGTGACTTGTCTTTTTTATATTGGTTGAATCATATATTACGTGGCACACCTGGTTCATACAAGAATTTCTCACACAGTTAATAAATAATTATAAAATATAGGATTAATTTAATTTTTGTCCCCTCAAATTTTGGTTTATTTTAATTTTAGTCGTTCAAATTTTAAATTTACGGTTTGGGACAATGACCAAAAATTTTTTGGAGATTTGTAAATGTCAAATAAGGAATGTCAATAAAAATTTGTTATTATTTACAAATTTAGAATTGTCAATACCAAATAAAGTTGTGTTACCAAACTTGATCTGAGATTTGTAATTTCCAACTTCTTTTTCTGTCATTCTCCCTTACAATTTTAGTCTCTGAAATTTAGCTCATCTTAAAACATTAGTCTCTAAAAGTATAACAGTGCATTAATGGCACCACAAATGGTGAGTTGGATTTGTTATATGACACCTAATTGGATCTTGTATGAATCACAGAATGCAGCTATTGAAATGAACAGTGATGAAGAAAAAACATTAGACCAAATTACCATCTTTTAAGCACTTCTTTTACCTTTTTCTTTCTGTTATTCATACAAGATCTAGTTACATACAATTTAATGAATCCACATCACCACTTTAAAGCTGATTACATACAATTTAATAAATCCACATCACCACTTTAAAGCTGATTATAATACTTTAGTAGATTTTAATACTCTTTATATCTCTAGATATCAATGTTTTAAGAACCATCAATTTAAAATTTGAAGGGCCAAAATCAAAATAAACTCAAATCTTAAGAATTAAAAATTATATTAATCCTAAAATATACTCCTCCGGTCTTTAATATAAGACTCATTTAACTAATTTGATTAGATTAAGAAAGTTATGTAAGTTAGTTAATTGTAAGAAATATGACACGTTTTTTCCAAAATACCATAATCATCTTTCTTAATACCCTCTCTCCCTCTTCTACTTGATTATAATTAAGAGAATATCTATAAGGGTAATTTAGAAAAAATTGATAAATATGAAAAATGAGCCTTATATTTAGGACCAAAACTAACTCAATAATTGGGTCTTATATTAATGATCGGAGGAGTATAAAGGCTTGAACTTCCAAGTTTGAATGATTCGATTCGATTCCGAATCTTTAGTTGTTCAGCGGATCCGTCACCATTGTCCCACGAAACCAAATGAAATCGTCAGGCAAAAACAATAATACATATAAATATAGAGGGTTAAGGTCCAGCACTGAATTATTTTCTCATCTGACTCCGTAGTTTGTGGTTAATTGAGCATCTTAAACTATTTTTATTAAGTATTCAGAATAATAAGAAGGAAAAAAGAAAAGCGTTGAATTAGAACATAAAAACATGACAGAATTGGTCCTAGTTACTTCCAAGATGGAGTGGAAGAAGGGGAGAAATTCTCGAAATAGGAAAAGGATCGAATGACTTTAAAAGAATCGAGCTGAGGAACCATATGAGATAAAAATCTCATATACAGTTCTGTAAAGTGGTAGTAAGCATGATTTTTCTATCAACTTTTTCATTGTCACCCCCACAAAACCAAACTACACCTTAAAATATTTTTTTCAGGTGCGTCTATTATCTCAAAAAATACTGAAAAATACTTTAAACTGTTTTATGCACATTCATTTAATATATTTTGTTGATGAGTTAATGGTGATGTTAAAATTGCTTCTAAAAAATACTTTGAGGGTGTAATTGCTCTTAAAAAGAATTAATACTTTAAGTACTAAATAATATTTTAGGATGCTATGTGCACATAAAGAATATTTCTGGATGCTAAATGAGTAAAAAATAACTCATGGTGTTGAATATACTTAAAAAAAAATATTTCAGGATATTAGACGCACCTTAACTTATACATAAATAGCAATGATATTTATTTTTGGTATACACATTACATATTTATTGTATTCTTTATTAAGGGTTCAAACCCATAACTTCGTCTTCAAATAAAAAAAAAATCTTAAAGAAAGTGTTAAGTTCTCACTTGGCCTACAAACCTGTCTAGATAATATTTACATTATATCTAGTCATTTTCTTGGAAAAAATTGACATAAAAAGAAGTTGTAAATTGCAATATTTTAATTTAGACATCTAAGAGTTCAAAATCTCAAAAAAGAAAGTGATGCCTGATATGATATTTTGCAACTGTAGTCAAATAACTAAAATGCCCTTATATTAAATTGAAAAAAAAAGATATCAAATTTGTTATTGTCAGTAAATTTCTTCTCATCAGTTGTTCAAAACTTATCATTGCCAGTTCACAACCTATTAATAAATAATTTGTCATTACTGGTATATTTTTTATCATTTGCTGTTCAACACTTGTTATTGTCAGTACAACTTGCTAATAAACTTTTTGTTACGAAAGTATTTTTGTCATATAACTATATTTGCAAAATATCTGATTAGACATCACTTCCTTTTCTAAGATTTTGAATTCTTAGGTTCCTGACTTATAATATTATAATTTTTAACCCTTTTTTTCATGTCATTTCCCCCTTTTTCTTTTCATTGTGGTATCTCTTGAAGAAGGGAATTCCTAATTGGCATCTTTAGGGTCAACAACTTGTTTGGAACCAATTTTTCTAATATACCCATAATCCAATTAGGGCACACCTCATAAACCCGCCATCATTTTGTAGCCTCACACACATAGCCAAGTCTTGCCAAAATTATACTATCCACTTTCCATTGCTTCCTCACTTGATAACCCCATAGCCATCCAAACATTTAAATGTACTGAGAACTTAAACTTCGAGAAAAAAATATTTGAAAAATCACCAAGGTTTTGTTTAAGAAACATTTTGAGGTAGGATCCAACAATTTAATATTTTAATGTTAAATTAATAGTATATATTTGATTTACAAAAAATTTGTCATTCTATTAAGTTTTTTTAGGGTCAACTTTCGCTACTTGATTCTAAAAATAAAAATATAAATTGCCGGTAATTTCATATAATTACTTGATTATTTCTTTTGTGAAATTCACTTTGTGACAGTTACTCAAGTTTTCTTTACAAAAAAAAAAAAAAAGTTGAGCAGGATTTTGGTTGTTCACTAGTATTTATCATGGAAGCACATTCGCAATAATGAATATGGAGTGATTTTTCATTCAAAACATTTTAAGGGGATCAGACAGCTCAAATTACACAAACTTGACCTTAGCCAAAAGGCCGAGAAAGGTAGACAGCTCAAATTTGGGAGATCTTTGACTAATAATTTAAACGAAAGTGTTGACAATTAATGCCGTTGTGGTTTTATACATGCCAATCAGATATTCAATTGTAAATTTATGCCATAACGTTCAAATTCTCTAAATTTTCGTTGCCAAAAAAAAATTCTAAATTTTAGATTTGCATAGCCTAATATGCTACAATTTCTCTCATAATAGTATCCTTAAATATAATAAACAAATTTGTCTTGTTCAAAATTTTAAATCAATCTTTTCATTTTTATCCCCATTTACCACTGATCATTTCTTTACAATAAATTGTTACTAATTGTGTTTCATGTACTCTATTTACAAACGAGTATGATTGTAAAATATATATATATATATATATCGTACATATTTATTATTTTTAACTAAATTAACATTTTAAGTCGCGAGATTTTTGTAGTTATTTCTGAACGCAATGAGGACTAAATTAGATTCCAGACCATGCCAATTAAGAAACAAAGTAAGTTGCTATTTAATTTAACCACAAATTTTCACTATAATAATGAATCATTCTTGTCTACCTAAAAATATGCTAAATACAATCTTCCAAAAAATTTAAAATTAAAATTATTATTCATTCTGTGTAATCCCATGAAACACACATCTTTACATATATATAAAAAATATAAAATTGACTGAAAAAAAATCATACTACATAACAGCCGTTAAATAGTTGACAGTCCAGTTACTTCCAAAAATCCAAAAACTTTGATACAGTTTCTTCCTTTGTTAGCATGCAAGTATCTGTACCATTTTTAACCCAACCCGCCCTATCGTTTGTATTATGCTATACTTAAGACAACTTACATATTCAGTAGTCTTGTAATCTAGTAGTATGAAATTTTTTTTGCAGCTAAGAGGCCACGGATTCGATTTGTTTCCTTGAACAGAATTAGCACCCTTCCTCAGTAACTTAGGCACGCTTAAAGAATCAAAGCATATGTTCATAAAGATATGGAAAGAATTAGGCAAACAATTTGATTGCATTTAGCGACAAATAGCAGGAACAGAACAGAGATGACGGGAAATCATTGATGTCTCCAATGCAACAAATAATAAACATACCTCTATACATTAAGCCATTAAAGCCCTTGCCCTTATTTTCATCATCATCAGCATCAGTAAAAATCCATTACTTACTCTGAGCCTTGAGTTCCTGAACCCTCTCCTCAGTCTTTTTCAGAGCTATCCCATAGATTCTGATTAACTGGGGGAAGAAATGGACAATATCAGAACTCAAATAAGATCTTGTTCTAAAGAATAATTGGACAAGAGTAGGTGGTGGATAGCAATCGAGGAACAAAAAAAGCACAATAGAAGAGGACAGCACATAATAGTGAATCATCATGAGGAGAAAATCATTAAAGCAAGTTGTACTAGCTTGACTGTATATGGCCATTAGCAAGAACTCGCCAAAATTGTACATTCAAGACGGTGAGATTCAATGGTACACTCAAAAGTCTTTACTGTCTAGAAGAGCATATACATGAGTTAAATGAGGTAACTTGGCTAGTTACAATAAATTTATTTGCTTTCCCAATGATTTAGCAATTTACAGACAAGCCAAATGAAGACAACTGAAATTTATATATAAATGACTCAGAGGTTAGGTTACCTCATCAACTTCTCCTGGGCTGATAATAAATGGCGGAGACATCATTATGTTATCCCCAGCCACACGCACTAACATCCCATTCTTCTCACACTGTGCTCCAAAATAGGCACCTATCCCTGTGATAATTATTTAATCAAAACTGTCACAGCAATAGAAAATAAACCGAAGTCCACAAAATGATAGTACCTAACCTATTTCACATATTAGGATAATAATTTTCTGTCACCTCAACTAATAGGAAGCTGCATTATTCTTGTTATGCGTCACTGTCACAAAGGTTTGGTTTTAAATGACCTTAGAAGATATTTTTGCTACTTTTAAATTTTAATTGATTTTATAGTCTATCCAAACATAACAAAGTCATCTGTTCATATAATGAGAACCATGTTTCAGGAATTCCAAGTAACAAGGCTCTTGCTTCAGGAATTAAACTAAATAATGGTTAAGTACATTATTATATATGGTTAACCACTGGCCTGGCATAATTGCCCGACCGGTTAACATCCCTAAACAGTTGAAATTTTTTGCCAATGAATTCCTAAAGGGTAATTCCTCTTGGTATGTTAAGGGAAAATATGGGAACAAAAGGGAAAATTGAACTTACCCCATTCTGGAGGGAAAGGATCATTGGGCGACTTGTTGTCAGTGAACTCGGTCCCCAGGATCAAACCAGTTCCACGAATCTGCAGAGCCAAAGAAGTTATTCTCACACCTCAGTCATGCGTTTTGTACAGGGACAAAACTTGAGTAGAGCTTTAGCGTTTACTATCAAGTTCTCCATTAAAATCATGACATGTTTTCTTATACAGCCACCAGAACTACATATGATGTTTTTATCCGAAATTTTGATAGCACCAACTTAAAGTACTTTCAGTAAGTAAATTTTGCCCTTTATATTAGAGAATAGACCAAAAGCTGCTTAGCAAACAAGAGGTACCTCCCAATGATTGGACTATCAGAGAAGGCTTTTACACCATCTTGGAACCTCGGTGCAATGCTCTTCACATTCTCAACAATATTTCTTTCCCTGCAAAACATCAAGAATCAAGAAAATAATAATAACAATCAGCAGCCTGAACAGTAATTAACATGATATAATATGCTTAAAGTTGTAGTCATTTATTCAAATATAATACTGCAAATCACTAATTTCACTGCATGTGTTTGAAGTTGACTGTGAATATGGTAATGACCCAAGCTACATAGGAACACACTTGTAGATCTTTAGTGCTTCAATTGCAACAGCACACGATACCGGGTGTCCAGAGTAAGTAAAGCCGTGAGAAAAAGAACCTAAAATAAGAGAAATCAGGTCAGCAACAATTATCTTCACATGAAGATGCGGTCATAAATGTATCACCGTACCAAGTTTACTGCTTTGCGAGTGTATGACATCTGACACGTCTGGGCTCACAAGAACTGCACCAATTGGCATGTATGCAGAAGAAAGTGCCTGGAAGTCAAATACAAAAATGAAAAACATTAAGCTTCCTAGATCATGAGAAAGATAAATATGTGTCTGGATGCTATTTCAAGTTTACCTTAGCTAATGACACCAGGTCTGGTTTAATGTTGTACTTATCAGATCCAAACATTGTCCCAAGCCTTCCAAAGGCACAGATGACCTTCAAAAGAGAAATATGAAAGAAGCAAGTTCAGCAGTCAAATTTCCTCATTAAATCCAGTTTAAGAAGTATGGATAAATATAGTATAGTACCTCATCCGCTATGAAAAGAATGTCATACTTCTTTACGACAGCTTGAATCTGCACAAGTAATGAAAGGCTTTGAGAGAGATGTTTCTTGCCTATAATATGATTTTGTGGCATTTAAAGGAAGGAGTTCTCAAGGGAGAGTGTGAAAACAATTATAATTATATTAATCCGATGCATGAATAATTGTTATGCAAGCCAGAATTTTGGGAAGTGCAAGACTATACAGCAATTGGATCTATTGACTTTGATATATAACTTCTACAGAGCTAACAAAGCTGTGAATTGCAAATAGGTATCCTATTTTAACCCTTGACCAAGTATAAAAGTTGAACAAACTATTCAAGCAACTGAATAAAAACTAATAGCCATATTCAAGATGTTGTCAAGTGATGAAATAGTCTAAACAGAAAAATCATGTACAGTTTTCTACAGTCACTGCCCGTTTGAGATTATGAGACCTACATTAATCGTATCTATTGACTTAAATATATATGACACAGAGCTAAAAAAGATGTGAGCTTGATATTCTATTTTAACCCTTGAACCCATATCAAAGGTCAAGCACGCTGTTCAAGTAGATGAACTATTACAGGCAACAAAGTTTATGCTCACAAGGTTGTGAAAATGAAGGTCTAACCAAATTTTCATGAACATTTTCTGTAGTGGTCTGCTTCCAGCAGCAGGTATAAAAAAGTCCTTATGCATAATTCATCTATTGTGATATCCCATGGAACATCATACGGAAATGCCACAAGCCATAATAGCACTATAGATAGAAAACATGTAGATTATTTGTCACTTATCTTGAAAATAAGGAAATTATAATTCTTTAAAGCATGATGATGCTGATGACACACCTTGTCAAAGTAAGTTGCAGGCGGAGGTATTACACCTCCTGCACCCATAACAGGTTCAGCAATAAATGCAGCAATCTGTATAAGAAAAGCCATATAAAGTTGCTGTGGTACAATCAATATTAAAATATAAAAAAAAAATTTATAGATATTTTAAAGCATTACTGTCTCTGGTCCCTCTTTCAAAATTAGTTCCTCCAAATTTTTAGCTAATCTGGTTGAGAACTCTTCCTCTGTCTCACCTGGGATAGGCATCAGCATGCATGATAACATTTAGCCACATTATCCATGTGAATAAAACAGGTTTAAGAACATGACCTACTAAAAGAGACTACCTGGAAGGTGATACCGCCAGTAATGCGGGCAGTCAGTGTGCAGCACAAACGGAGCAGGCAAGTCAAACTTTTGATGCAGAGCTGGAAGACTGAAGTATGATTTTCAGTTAACTGATTAAAATTCTGTTCTTATCTCATTTTCATAAATAAATAAAATATTCAGAACAAAAGCACTGATGCAATCAGGGGGGCAAATATCCTGAGTTCATTCTACCCGGAGAGACTGGCTGATATCAGCGTTGAACCATGATACCTATCAGAAACGTCAAGAAATATAAGCTATTATGCATACTATCAAGATACACAAAAGCATCATTAGTTGAAATATCAAACATACGATTTTGCCCGAGCTATAAATTTCTTCTTATTTGGTCTTCCAAGCGCATTGTTATAATACCATACCAATTTCACCTGCAAGGAAAAGTGATGTAAACCTGAGCAAATGTTACCGCAATTACTGCCCATCTTAACTATGTTGATTCCACTTAAAATATCTGATTATAATTTTCTGCACAGTTAATTTGACTTCATTCAGAACTTAGATGACTAAATTTGCACTGAGAGAACATATTTAGCTTTGGCTTCTGATATCCAGTTATCTAATTACTCATAGGTTTTGGGTCTGCAAAGTTTTATGATATTGGGCTTCAGATATAATATGGCATATATGATTATTAAAGTAAAACTTAGTTAATGAACAAAATAAAAGAAGTAAGGTGAGAATATTTTCATGCACAATATGGTGAGTGACGAGTTTGTCATGAGGTCATATGTTTTGTCCATGCTTCATGATCAGTTTTAATTTCTGAAAATGCTAATCTGCCAAGCTGAGAATTTTCCTATTGTTGAAATCACAAACTGTCCAGATATTAACTTCTAGTACATAGGAAAAACTATAGCATAATTCAAGCTGTCCGCCATAAAATTACATGAAGAAAATGTTATGTTACACATTAAAACGGCTTTCTACACAAACCTAACGAACCTGAGTATCATTGGCTTCTGATCCGCTGTTAACAAAAAAAGCTTTTGCCATTTTTCTGGCTGTGAAAAGTTCTAGAAGGTCCCTGGCTAGATCCTGTAAGGTTAAATTTATGTTTACATAAGAAAATAGAAAATGAATCATTCAATATCAAGAGAGAATTTTAGAGATGGGTAATTAATAAATAAATGAAACCTAAAGTTAACAGACGTATCAACTGGATAAGGATAAGCTTAAAATAACATAACAACCTTTGCATGACGCCACATCATATGAATTAAGGAGCTAGAACTAGAAGTTTCAAAGTATTAATACATATATATTTTCTTTTGCAAGAAGAGGAAAGAACAAATGAAAGAAAGAAATAATGTAAAAGTTCAGGTGCAATTAACAAGTGCAAAATTATGTCTGGGTCAACTAAGGCCGAGTGTAAGACTACCAATGATGGTTTTGTAGTTCGATTCCAAAATGAGTGGTAAAAAGGCAACTTTTTCAATTGTGTAGTTGCCGCGTCAACAAGGCGTGGTTCATTCCCTCCTGCAATATAAGATTGATATCATAGTGAACCGTTCTTATATATAAAAAAGATACACATTTGTATGTTGTCGTGTAAGTAGATCAACAATCAATTGACTATTGTAAAAGTAGTTTTTTCACTTCAACATTAACTCAAAAGGCAGCCTGTTTTTAAATTCTAGGTGACTTCACCAGAATGTTTTTTTTCCTTATCATGGCTTGTAGGTCATGCTCGTTTGATGTTATTATGCTTGGAAATAATAATTTCAAATTTAACTGCTTTTTTCAACCTTAGTTGCCAGATACTGGATTAAGAAAAAAGGCGAAGATATGTACAACACATTTATATTTGGTGGGTAGAGGACAGGAGATGATAAGTTTCCAGAAACAATATATATCAAAAGCATATAACAAATACATGTTTGTGTCATCTAAAAGGTAAAAGGGAACAACGAGATATCAATGATTAAGCAAAGAAGAAAATAGATAGAAAAGAACTCATAAATACCTAAAGCAGTGCACCATAAACCAGCGAGTGAGTCAAGATATTTTCTCCCATTCATGTCATATACATAGCTCCCCTGATTCCATTAATTGGGTAAATTCCAAAATTGAGAAACAAGTCATTGTTTGAAATTTAAATGAAGCATATATACATTGTAACCATAAACTAAGCCTGTTATGTAATAAATTTTTAGGCAGGAACAGAGGAAGTTCACCTCTGATCTTTCTATAACCAGAGGATTCAAATCAGTAGTCTGCCATCCAGCAGTGAAAGGAGCAAGCATATCATGACCCTTGAACCTAAGACAACCAAAGTAATTTTAGCAGAAGCATGCATGGCAGTCATGTCCACAAGAGCAATATCTGATAAAAATTTTCAAGATATTTAAGAATTAGAGAAGCTAAAAAATTTGTCCCTGACCAAGGAACTGTTACCTTTTGAATAGGGGGGAAAAAAGTTGTATTAGAAAGAGGAGAAAATAAAGAGTAATAGTTGAGGATAATCAAGCAACAAATCACAAACCAAATACACAGAACAGCTGCCCAATCTCTTAGCATATGAAAAATAAAACTTCTTTTCAAAAACCCATGAGCCAGCATCAAAGTTCGGCCATACATGGACAATTCTTTCGTCTCATCAGAGTTTAATAGAAGCAATAATCCTTGACATCTTTCTTTAGAAAACAATAGAAACCAAACAACTCTGCTCAAATGATCCTTTCCGAGATTTTGAACTTCACTGGTAAAGAGAAAATGGAAGAGTAACAATATTCAGAACCAAATTGGTTTATTGCAAGGGCAAGTGCAACAAACATGCCCTTAGTTCAACGCCATTATGCCAACTTATAAACATGCAAAAGAAAGCAATGACCAATAGAGAAAAGCACACACGAGAGAGAGCTAACTGCATACCCTTCACGGTTTTCATCCTTTGGCAAAGATGCTTCAGTACTATAGGATCTAGACCATGAGGAAACCTGGCAATTTTCCTGAAAACTTTTGGAAACAGCAGCATATCTTGAAGCAATCTGTAAATCAAATATGAAAATAAGCATCAATGGACAAGTAATTGAACAGCAAATACAGTATCACTGGGACCATGTGTGACACACCAAGTTAGATAAATAACTCAGACAAGACAATTAGTATTTAAGATAACTATATTTTGGAAAACAAAACAAAACCATACATTTGATGCTCTAAACCCAGGATAGGATGTTCTGCATCAGTAATTAAATTCATATATACTCTTATCATCATAATTTCAAGCATTCAGCACGCAGACAATTTCGAACAAAGTAATTATAATTTGATGATTTCAGTCGGCAAAGAAGTAGGAAATAGTTTCTCCGTATATTTTCCACATAATTATTTGTGTAGGGCAAACCAAGTCTCTATTAATATATGGCCACCTGCTATCTAGAACTTGAACCCTTAAAATGGGGAAATTAATTATTGGCTTGCCAGTTGCTCTATCATTTCTGATATATGTCAATTCTCTTGTACACGGGTATGGTGTTGGTTATGAATGATGAATACGGTAAATGGATAATTCACAAGAAATACAAACATAGCAATAGAAAAGGCTGCTATGTATGGAATTTTTTAATAAAATTCCAATGCTTCAAACGAAGAATGCACTGAATCTTAAAATAAATGGCCTGTACCCTATGAAATTGCACCCAAGCATCAGCAGAACAACGATTTAACAGCAAAGTCTGGATGAAGTTAATATTTCACACATATAATTAATTCACAAATGAAAAAAATAGTCCAAACTTGTATCCATAGCAGAAGCCAGAAACACCAAGATAGTATTGCTTCACAAGGAATAAATGGACATGGTTATAAAAAATTATCAGAAATCTGGAAAAACATGAGCCTGACTCATTTTTCCCTTTCCCCTTTTGCCAAAGAAATTATATACTGAAGGTAAAATTAAGCCTAATTTTGTCATACAACCAGACAAGTTTATATTTTTAAAAATCTTTCGCGCAGGTAAAAAAGAATGTTTAAAACAATCCATGAAACAGTAAAATAATATCCTATCAGTTCTAAATGATATTAATATCCAAACTATAAGTATAGCTATAAAAAGGCTGGCTACTTTACGGAATTCATGAATTCTCAGAAATTTAATTCTGTTCAACAACTTTCAACCTTCGGCTGCCCATGATACAAAAAGGCGACAAAAGTAATCAGCCTCAGCTAATTGCTTTAAATAACTTGCACGTGGTAATTTTAAGATTCAACGTCAAAAGTTGCTCTAGCGTATAAGTCAGTCAATAAAAAGCCCTCAAGCCGCACAAAGTATCTCACTTTTAGGTCCCTATTTTTTAATCCACCATTTCTTAGAAAAACAGAAACTCAGGCTATAAGTGCACGTTAATTTGAAAAATGTAATTGTAATATCACGAAACATATAAGAGAAACAGAAACACAGATGGAAATCCCAGTTATTAGGAAAAGAAAAGCCGATCGAAGAATAGGAAGCCACCAAACAGGAGCAGAATCAACGACAAGAACATGAAACATGCTTCCATATTTTCCCTTCAGTCATTGCTCATCCAGAAAGTACCACAAAAAGAGGGGAAAAGACCGAATGCATTCGTACGAAAATCCACAAAGAACCCGGAAGTAGCCCTGTAAATCAAAATGAGAATCCAGGAGCAAGTTACCTGGCTTCTCAGAGAGGATCGAAAGAGCCGATTCATGATGGTTTATCTCGAGACTCAAGAGCTTGCGACGATGCGGAGATAATCAGGAACTGAAACTGGAAGAGTGACTCAGAAATGAGAAAGCATCGGCCTTTAGTACTGAAAACGACAAGCCAGGAGCGGGTCCGACAAATCAACCTGTCCCGGTTCAGCACGATTGCATACTAATCTTTAATCATCATCGCGAAATAAATTACGTTCAATTTTCCAAATTGCGATAACATTACCGCGATGGACAATAAATTGATGGAGATATTATGTGGCTTGACGTCATAAGGTAAATGGGGACACGACTTCCGGCCAAAGAGACAAAAGGATGTTTGGAAACCAAATGAAGATTTTAAAAATATTTTCACGGTTTACAAAGTAACATGAAAAAATTGAAGATTAAAGTACACCCACAATCCTGAAATATTTTTTCAGATACATTTAACACTTTAAAATATTTTAAAATGCATTTAGTACTTTAAAATATTTTTTATATGCATTTAGCACTGTAAAGTATTTTTCTTGAACATCTAACAGCTTAAGGGATTTTTTTTAAGTGCATCCAGCATCCAAAAATATTTTTGGATGCATCCAGCACCTAAGCCTAAAAAAAAAATACTTCAAGATGCTAGGGTCCCTAAAAAATATTTCAAGGTATTGGATACGACACAAAATATTTTAGAGTTCTGGTTGTATTTAAAAAAATATTTCAAGATGCTGGATACACTTAAACCAAAAATTTATGTCGTTTTACAAAAAGTATCTTTTAGGATTGCCGGCACCAAAATGAGGAGACGAAAATCACGCGATTCATAGGTAATGATAAAATATAGAAAGGTTTGAACTTCCAAGTTTGAATGATTCGATTCGATTTCCATCTCCGGATCTCTAGTTGTTCCAGCGGTTTCATCACCATGGTCCCACAAAACCAAATGAAATCGTCAGCAAAAACGGACATACGTATAGATACATAGACGGTTAATATTCTCTTTTAAGTTTATCTAAACATTTAATATAGTATTACTTATTTTATCTCTAATTTAATATATTTAGGGGGTGTTTCGGTGAAACCAAACTATGATTTAAAGAATAGTTTTTGGAGAATAGATTCTTGAGTGAATAGATTTTACAAAAAATAGATTTTATAAAAAAGCGATTCTGATAAAATAAGAGTATTTGGATAGTTGTTATCAGAAATACTTGTTATATAGACGAATTACCAAAAAAGTTGTTATCAGAAATACTTGTTATATAGACGAATTACCAAAAAAGCCATAGGTTAATATGATAATTATATAAAAAAAGATTTTATAAGATATTTTAATTTGAAAGAATAAAATTGTTAACAATATATTTTTTACCAACATCATTAATAACATATAAGATAATGTAATTAATAAATAATTAATATGTGTATATATATTTATAAAATATAAGATTAAATATGTTTATAAAAAATAATTGAGGGGTGTTAAAGTCATATTATCGTTGAGATCTACTCTGACAGGCACAATCATATTTTCCAATTTGAGCCAAAAGCAGAATGGATTTACTTCTTCTGAAACTATAGTTTGGAGCCCAAAACCGCGATTTGTTAATTTCTCCTCCTGTTTGGCAAACAGGCCCTTAATATATTTTCTTTCTTCATTTATCTCACTATTACTCTTTTATATTTATCCATTTATATATACGGATATATTTGGAAAAAAAGTTACATTTTTTATATATTAAATACTTTTAATTAATTTTAACTGTTTTTTTAAATCATACAATTTAATTAAAAAAAATCTTATAATAAGTGACGGAACAGTATTCTTTACACCGAGTGGAAGGCTCTTGAACTAGGAAAAAGATTCAGTGGCTTTGAAAGAATTGAACAAAGAGCCATACGAACTGAAAATCTTACGCCCAAAGTGGAACTTTTCTGTCAAATTTTTTATTGTCATCCCCACAAAACCAAACGCACTTTACAATTATACGCATCTATCATCTCCAAAAAATATTAAGAAATATTTTAGATTGTTTGATGCATATTTATTTAACATTTTTTTCTGAAGAATTAATAGTGATGTTAAAATTGCTTCTAAAAAAACACCTTAAGGGTGCGATTGCTCCTAAAAAAATTAATACTTTAAATACTAAATAATATTTTAGGGTGTCATGCGTACATGAAAAATATTTTAGGATGTTGAATGAATAAAAAATAAGTCATGATATTGAATATACTTGAAAAAATATTTCATTGGGTGCAACTTATCCACACATAAGTAACAATGATATTTTTGGTACACACATTACATACTTACTACCTCCGGTCCTTAATATATGACCCTGTTTGACTTTTATTTTGGTCCTAAATATAAAACCCCAATGCACTTGTCTCTCATATTTATACATTTTTTTCTAAAGTAGTCCTTCTAACAATAATAATTCTAGTCAATACACTTGATTAGTAAGGATATTTTAAGAAAGATAATACCTATTTAGGACAAATAACTAACTCAACTTACTTTATTAAGGGTTCAAACTCATAACTTGACCTTCAAATTAAAAAAAAAAAAAAATCATACAGCAAGTCTTAAGGCCAGATAATATTTGCATCATATCTAGTCATTTTCTTTCCATTGTGGCATATCTTGAAGAAGGGAATTCCTAATTGGCATCGTTAGGGTCAACGACTTGTTTGGATCCAACTTTTCTAACACATCTATAATCCAATTAGGACACACCTCATATAAAGCCGCCGCTATTTTGGAGTCTCACATGTATATCCAAGTTTTGACAAGATTGTACTATCCACTTTCCATTGCTTCCTCACTGATATTTCAATGTACCGAGAACTTAGACTTTGAGGAATAATATTTGAAAAATCTAAGGAATATTTTGAGGTTGGATCCAACAATTACATATTAATATGTTTTATTTTTTGAAAAAGCTAATTTCTTCGCCAACTGAGTAGCCCACTGCGTTCATTGAGTGGACTTTTCTTTATCACAATGAGTTTATTTCCATTTAACATTACTTTTGGGGGGGGGGGGGATTTAATATTACTACCTCCGGTTTTAAATATAAGAACTAGTTAATTTGAGTAGATTAATGAAATAAGTTAAGTTAGTTGTTTGTTATAAATATGTATTGTCTTTCCTAAAATATCCTTATTAATTTAATTTATTGGTTAGAACTACCATTATTAAAAGAACTATCTTGAAAAAAATAGATAAATATGAGAAAAAAATAAATTTGAATCTTATATTTACAATCAAAATAAAAATTAAATGAGATATTATATTGAGAACCGGAAGTAGTACTATATTTACATGGCTTTTTTACCAATATACAATAAACAGTAAAATTATATATCAAAATGCTACACTTTTAAAACTATTTACCAATATGCTATACTTAAAATCGTTCTTCGCAAGAAAGATTTTTAAAATTATACACAAGTCGTTCTTGGCATAAACAATTTCTGAAATTGTTCATGCCAAGAACGATTTTACTTTTTCCTGTTCACTCTCTCATATACAAATCTTTGCCAATTTTACATGCAAAAATAAGAATCCTGGACAATGCTCCCATGAGGCTACAACGTCTATATTGGATTAAAATTTGAAAATTCTAATTTTTTTAATTTTTTGAATAGAGCTTGATGAAATTGTCTGTCATTTCCTCTTCTTTTTATTTTTCTCATACCAAACAATACGTAACAAAAAAATTATGCTTTGATTGTAAATTTTTAATTTTAGCAATTAAGTTGTAGGACTAAATGATTATTATTATTATTTTGGTCACAGGCATAAAAGATCCATGCCTAATACTTGATTTCTTGTCAAACTAAACAAATGCCACACAACTGGCTTTTTTACCAAAATACTACAAAGAGTAAAATTATATACTAATATGTTACACTTAAAATCGTTCTTCAGGTGAATAATTTTTAAAGTCATTTATCTGCTGAACGACTTCTTCATTTAACAAATGTTTACGCCAAGAACGATTTCTAAAATTGTTCATGCCAAGAACGACTTGTGTGTAATTTGAAAGTCGTTCTTACCAAGAACGATTTTAAGTGCAGATAAATGCCACATAAGCTTTTATGCACATCAAGGATAAATTATGAAGAAATCGTTCAACAGATAAATGACTTTAAAAATTATTCACCTGAAGAACGATTTTAGGTGTAGCATATTAGTATATAATTTTACTTTTTGTAGTATTTTGGTAAAAAAGCCTGTCATGTGGCATTTGTTCAGTTTGACGAGAAATCAAGTATTGGACATGGACCTTTTATGCCTGTGACCAAAATAATAATAATAATAATTTAGTCCTACAACTTAATTGCTACAATTAAAAATTTACAATCAAAGCATAATTTTTTTTTGATTACGTATTGTTTGGCATAAGAAAAATAAAAAGAAGAGGAAATGATGGGAAATTTCATCAAGCTCTATTTAAAAAATTAAAAAAAATTGGGATTTTCAAATTTTAATCCAATATGACGTTGTAGCCTCATGGGAGTATTGTCAAGGATTTTTATTTTTGCATGTAAAATTGGCAGAGATTCGTATATGAGAGAATGAACAGGAAAAAATAAATCGTTCTTGGCGTGAACGATTTCTAAAATCGTTCACACCAAGAACGACTTGTGTGTAATTTTAAAATCGTTCTTGTAAAAAATGATTTTAAGTGCAGTATATTAATAAATAATTTTAAAAGTACAGCATTTTGGTATATAATTTTATTATTTATCGTATATTGGTAAAAAAGTCATATTTACATCAACAGTATATGTCTGCGCGGGTGGGGTAGATATGTTTTGGAGCTAGTAAAGTGAAAGGACAAAAAACTCCCATTTGTTTGGACTCAAGGGTCCCACCAGTCAAATAGATATTTATTTGAAATCGGGGGCCCACCCCCAATGGTGACCTGCGTGGGCTTTCTGAGTGACAGTGGGCTCCGTCTGGTACGAGGCTACTAGTAAATTATAAAGCATAAGATACCCAAACCCAGATCGTGGCAGCGAGTTAAGGATCAAATTTGTAAGAAATAAAAAATAAAAAATAAATTTAAATTCACATTTGAAAGATTAAATATTAATTTAATATTTGAATTTCTAATAAAATAATTATATAATTACATTTTCTTTTCAATTCCCTCGCAATT